CACCATGTTTCTGTGATAGCAACAAGGTAGCGATGAGAGTGGAAGATGATTACTCTGTTTATACTATAGGATTTTAAAAAGAAACACTTGTTGATGTTTTTTTCTTATGTTTTTATCAAGTCTTCTAAACAGGGTTCTTTTCTTTTCTTTGCTTGCCATTCTTAACTGCTCCTTTGCCTTTGCTGCCCTGGTCTAGAAGGAACTTCTTCCTTTCCTCCTCCAAGTCAGTAATCATTTGTTATTAATATCCAGATCTGCTTACTTCCTGACAGGTAGACTAAACTGAAGATTTAGAAAACTTGTGTCTTACTGCTGATACAATAATATTCCAATTTACCCAAAATGGATTTTTAATAATATTAATGAGGTATTAGTCTACAGCTATTCAGTTAGCCTGGCATTTCAATTTTAGATTTTAATTCAGAAGCTTTTAATTTCCTAGTGCCACTTAATATGTTCTGTCTGCAGCTAAAGAGTATTGCTCCTATTATGATGGACCAGTCTGAGTGAGGGACATATTGCACTTGATGGCATAATACCTTAGATTAAAAAAAAAAAAAAATCACACATTGTGAAGATTTGAGTCATTGATGGCTTCAGGATAAAACCAGGGCCTCAAGACTTTTTTCATTGCTGCTTTTACAATCCATCCTCCTTCTCCTGTGAGTATATGTGATAAACTTTGCAGACTTCACTTTTCTTCCTTTCTGGGAAAAATTAAGATTTAATATATTCTGTTATCTTGCACTGTAAATTAACAGCTCATGCTTAAATGTATCCTTTCCTTTTAAAGGTCAAGTACATACAAATCTCAAGGGATTGATGTCACAGTTAAGTACAGCCAAGGAAGCTGGACTGGAGTGCTGGGTACAGATGTCATTACTATCCCGAAAGGAATCTCTGGCAGCTACACTGTCAACATTGCTACCATTCTTGAATCAGATAATTTCTTCTTACCAGGGGTTAAATGGCAAGGGATCCTTGGTCTTGCCTACAATGCCTTAGCCAAGGTAAGTCATCATTTCCCCAGCTACGGTCTTTCACAATGACAATAAATAGAAATCTAACTATTAAAATAAAGAGAGCAGATTATCTTGTCGGTATTAGACTCCTCCCTTCCAACTACTGTTTCCTATGGATCTTTTGTGTTTGTTCCAGAAAGAATAAATTGAGTTGTGATGATACTACAGTCCCATATGAGGATTTTGGCTTTTCTGGTGATGAAGGTTCCAATTTTACTTCCTCTTTTACAGAGCCTGTAGTACCAGAGAATGGGAGTAAAGGCTTCTGGTATGCATGTAGAGAGCACATATTAGAGGTCTGGTGATATCTCTCAAGACTTGTCGATGCCTGATGAACTTAATTGTCAAAGCCTTTGGCAGTTCATTCTAAGATGTTCTCCATTCATTGAGTAAAAGTTCAGGTGGAGAGCATATATGGATAATTTCAGAAAAAATGTTATATATGGTGTGTTCATTAACATATAACCAATCACATCCTGTACTTGTGGAGGTAGAAAATTCAGGTAGAAGTTTAAATTAGAACCTAAAATTTATGGTCTAAAATTTATAACCCTATAGTCTAGGTGATTGGAATACTAATCATAGTTTTCAACCTACACATAACTGTGTGAGAAATTCACAAACTGAGATACATACCATTAGAACAAACAGTTCAATATTGCCTGCCGGCTCTGGAATTAAAATGCTTTATTCAAGACTTGTGTGGTCATTGTATCAACTTCTGCTTATACTTGCTGTTGTACACTGTCAAGAGACAGACAGACGAGCTGCTTCTCAAACTCTGGTCTTGGCAAATAGTGTTTTGAAGGTTTTTATTTTTCCTGTACTCCAAAGTTTTAAGTGTTCTTGGCTTCTGAGGTTGCTCTGTCCTTTGTGCAGTAAGAGCACTTGGTACCTTGCAAGCTAGCCCAGGATCTCTGCCTGTCATGAGATGTACCTGCACGGAAATATGAATTACAATGCAATAGCAGTACTCTAATAACTGCAAAGGCAAGCATGACATGCAGTATAGCAAAAAACCTGTTGGCCAGTAATCAGTTGGAGGGAGTGTGCTTAGATATTAAGTTATTTAAAAGAAAGGAAATGAGGGCCATTGAATTCAAAGTTCATTAGAATTAAACTATGTTTAAAAACTGAAAATCCTCACTTTAAAATTCTGCCTTGTAACTTTAGAAAGGTGGGAAGGGCAAGTTACATCTGACTGTTCTAATAACCCACAGCCTTTTCCAAACAGAAAGCATTGGCAAGAGCTTCTGCCTGAAAATGAAACTAGTATTTGAGTTTGAAAACTCTAATTGGAAAATACTCTTGTGCTTTAGGGATTTCTGTGACAGTGGTCAAGAATAAAAATGTTTTTAAAAACAACAGAAACAGAAATGACAGATGTGGTTTTTTAATGACTTATTATATTTAGAATTTTCATCACCTGGTTGTCAGAAGTTCAGTTTACTTGTGAAAAGTGGTCTTGTTTGAATGATTTGCTCATTTCCGCAAAGAAACTTTTTAATGAATACTAATGTGATTATTTTGTTTTCTGTTTTGTTTTTCAACACCTTCAAGCCTTCAAGTTCCGTGGAGACATTCTTTGATTCTCTTGTGAAGCAGGCAAAGATCCCCGACATTTTCTCCTTACAGATGTGTGGTGCTGGACTGCCTGTTTCTGGAAGTGGTACCAACGGAGGTAGTCTTGTGGGTATCTGTCAATCTGAGAGAGAAGATGTATCTTTGTTAATCTCTCCCTCTTTTCTATGACTATGCTACTTCTTGAAAATTTAGTGTCCAAATACATGAAAAGTTTTATAATTTTTTAAGGAAAAGTTAAGCACCTAGGCAAAACTCAAGGGTATATTTATTTTCATTCTCCATTCTTCGTTGCAAGTTTAATTTTAATAAAGAAAATGAATAAATTTTGTAGTCCACTTCCTCACCTATTGTCTTACCTCGGAGCAGATTCTACTACCTTTCTCAAACTGAGTAGTTCCTTAGTCAGCTACTAAGCTTGTTCGAGCTCACCAAAATGCTACAGTTTGGGTTGTTTTCAGCTGATGTGAAAAGGGGGAGAGGAATCAAGGCTCTTTTCCTTTTCTGGTAGAAACCAAGGGAAGAAATCTGAAGACCAGATCTTCCCCTTGTTGTTGGTCTGGGAAGTCTTCCCATCAGTTTTGGTGGGACCAAGAACTGGCCTTTATTTATCTGGGATCGTGAGTTGGAATGACTGTTCCTGAATTATGCTGAGATAAGCATATCAGCACAGGAGTCAATCACAAATAGTTATTTTGCTGTAAATTCCCATACTGTAAATGTTAACACACTTGAGATAGATGAAGTCCAAGAGAGAACTCACTTATGTTAGTTCAGTTCAGAATCTGATGGTCTAGAATGATCCCAGTCAGCTTCAAAATAAGTCTTGATGGAAGCTAATAGTGATAGCAATGAGGGGATGGTCCTGTTCCATTCTGGATGTGTGTAAGAAAAATGAAATGTTCTTAAGCAGTATTAAGTCTTTTCTGATCTGATCAGGTGAATTTATGATGTGCAAGTTTAATATTGTGTCCCACATTGCCTAGATTAAACCACTGAAGATACTGTTTTGATTTTAAAAAGTGGAGCTTTCATAAGAGAGTCAGTGTGAGCTTGTAGATGAAGATGCTGGTAATTTGGCCCAATATGGGACTTCTGTTTGACTGAAGCATGATCTACTTAATGTCTAGATGTTTCATACTGCTTTATTTATTGACAAAGAACTTGTCAGTAAAATCCTTACAAATGGGGCTAAATTAAAATTTTGATGCCCTGTGTATCACAATTAAATATTCCCCTTTTTTCCTGTATTTGCCCCAAAACTAAACATCCGGGATTTTAAAGCATGTGAATTCCTTTCTTCTTTCTCTTAGGTTCTGGGTGGAATTGAACCTACTCTGTACAAGGGTGATATTTGGTACACACCGATCAAAGAGGAGTGGTATTACCAGGTTGAAATTCTCAAACTGGAGGTCGGAGGACAGAACCTTGAATTGGACTGCAGAGAGGTATTTGCGATACAGTGTTTCTGTCTATATAAAACACAAGTCTGGTTAAGAAAAACACTTAATTGATAAGTTTTGTCTTTGCAAGCAGATGTGTATTGTAGTCTCCTGAGAATTAAGGCTGCATGGTAACTTTGAAAAGAAATGAACGAGCCATATGAAATGCATTGTGTACATCAAGCATGCTAAAATTGCTTCAAAGAGGACTTTAAAGTCACTGATAGTATTTTCAGTAAACTAGGGACTAATCTACAATTGTTAAGTGAACAGTCCACTGAAAATAAGGCTGCTGTGGTTTGGAAGGGCTCAGCCTCTTGTGTGATGAAAGTGTCTAAACACTGAAGATTGATTCAAGGAAACGACAGTCTGTAAACAACTACAGTTGATGTTTTTCTGTTATACAGTAAAGTCAGACCAAAGGGTTTTAAAGCAATTCTGGTCAAACAAAGAAAAGGGAAGATTTTGGAGTGACCCCTGTGGAGAAGTCTAAGCATGTAATTCATGATGGCAGTGGGCAGGTGTCATCCTGGAATGCTTCCCAAAGTATCTCACCCTATGCCTCTTTTTTTTTTTTTTTTTTTTTGTAATCCACTTCTGGTTGCTTCAGCGTTGCCAGTTATTATTCCTGATGGATATGTTTTCTGGTTGTATTAGGAATAATGTTCTGCTGCCTCTGGATCAGTCTAATGAGACTGTGTTGTTGCAATTTTTCTTCCAAAGCTGTTTCTTTTTTTTCTAGAGAATATGTGTGTATGTGTGTGTTTAATTTGTTTATGACTGTTGCTTGTTGCTATTAATGTTTTGATTTTAGTTCTATAATTTTCATGCCCTGTTTTCATTAGACATATTAATTTTATCTTATGCTTGTTCTCTTGGTTGGAAATCTTTGGGATATAATAATTCTAAAGTTTTTATTGTTCATACAAAATAAGTGAAATGCATGATAAAAATCTTACATGTGCTTAGATATTATATTTCCATACAAAATATGGAAATCATATTGCCATATGAAATATTTAAAATTAGTCATATTGTCTTCCAACTTAGTAAGTAAGACAAGGTCTATTTAAATGCCTCTCTCTGTTACACTGTTAGGAAAGCAAAACTGCTGGTCCTCTAACATAATTGTTTGTGTTTGCTTTTCTTTCTTGCCTTAAAAAACAGTCAATGTGTTTTTGAAGCGGAGTCCTTCTGCTAATGGTTTAATACATGCTGTTTCCAGAAAACAACTCACTTAAAAGTCTAGTGCTGTTACAAAAGTTTCCTGTTATTGTCGCTCTTCTCTGAGCCAGGGTTTGTTTTCACATTGTACATATTAGCATAGTATGCTAGTCACTGTTACAGAAGGCATCGTTCTTTTCTTGATCAAAGGAGATCTTTGCACAAAAGTTTAGGGCAAGAACAGTAAATTAAAGCTAGCATGATTAAAGTTTCACTAGTTAGGGTCTTGCAGAGAATGCATAATTCACTGTGCAAGACAAGGAACTATGTGCCCTCTCTCCTCTTAGTTGTTTTCTAGGAAATAGAAAATTTTTTGTAACTCTCACCAGAGACTACTCCTTTCCTTGCCAGCCAAGAGTAGTCCCCTCACTTCAGTGCTGGGAATCCGTCCAGTGTTATACTGCAGGTGTGGCCTTGAGCCTGGCAGCCCAGGCCTGAGAGAAGCACTGAGCTGCCAGCAGTGCACAGGGTGCACTGTTAAATATTAACTGGGAAGACTAAGGTGGCAAGAAGTTACTGCCCATTACAAGTACGCTGTACACAGCATGAAAATCCAGCTGGTTAGTCCCTGGCTAAGCGACCCTGCTACTCCAGGCATTTTGCATGGTTTTATGTTAGTTATTGACCCTCTTGGCTGTGCTTCCTACCTGCTTTTTTTCCAAGGGTGGCTCTCCAGGATGCTGGTGACTGTGTACTTGTGGTACAAATCTGTTAAAATGGGCTCCACAATGCCTTGATATTTCTCTCTACTCTTTAGATGTGTATCTGAGTGTGTAATAAATGGTTTCCTGTTTACTTTTCTTTCAGCTCTGCTTGGCAACACATAGCAGCTCTTCTTTCAGAAAGAAAATAACTAAGTCAGAGTTACTTTTGTACTTGTCAGTGTGTTTTATTTTTGTCACTGCACTAAAGATATGCCATGTGGCTTGATAACATCTAAACCAATGTATTTTAAATTCACTTGCTGTTTGACCTCTTACTAAAAAGCTTATGCTGTATATTATCTTTTATCTTATGATGATACACGTCACCGCTGGGTTATATTGATCCTGCTGCCTAAACTGGTAACAAAAGTAGTTAGTGTAAACAGCTGCCACTGCTACTTGCCTTTTTTTTTTTCCACAATTAATCATAGTTCTTAAGGAGTTCATGAAAAAATATGGACCTTTGATTAAGTGTTTATTCTTTGTTCACTGTATCTGAAGTTTGCTGAAATCTCTTAATCTGAGGGTTGGGGTTTTAATAATGAACAGATATGTTTGCTTATTTTTTTAATGCAGATTTTGAGGCAGCAAGATTGACATTTCAAGTTTCTTTGTACTTGTTTTTGTCTGTGATTTAGTGGTTTTCAGCAGTCGAGAGAGAAAGGTGTGGCTTTTTGGCATTTGTACTCTTGATCCAGTACCAAACAGGACATGTAATGAGGCCTAATGTTCTCTGACTATTCTTAAGGTAGATACACCAGCCATTAAAAGTAGGCGGCTCTATTGTGTTTTAACCAAAATGAGTTGTTTCCATGATAGCAGAGACCTTGATTCAGGGCTTGGACATATGTGTAAGCTACATCAGCATGCTTAGCATCTGTCTGTACAGACCATGAGAGTGCTTTTGCCCAAAGCATATGGGAGGTAAAGTGGATTAGCTCACACCTCTGAGAGGGGCTGGGGTTTACTTCTCTTTACAGCGGTTTGGCCATTTGCACCAGCTGTGGTGACATGCAGTAATTTCTTGTGTGGTGCAGGTAAACTCACTCTTGTGCCTAGGCTGACCATATCTTGCTTTTCCTCTCAGACTTCATTTGCATTCAAGCTATCAACTAGAGCAAGCTGCTGACAGGTATGACATGCAGGTTTGGGAAGACAGCTACCAAAAAGGAACAGCGTTGTTATTGTTATGAAACAGTGGAATCTGCATTACATTAACTACAGTGTGTAACTTCTTTCCTTTTTTCCCCCTCCCTAGTATAATGTCGATAAAGCAATAGTAGACAGTGGAACCACGCTCCTGCGTCTGCCCCAGAAAGTCTTCAGTGCTGTTGTGCAAGCAATATCTCGCACGTCCCTGGTAAGCTACTGTAATTAAATCTGCTCAAAATGTTAAATTCCTATTAAATGCTCATGTGGTCTTTGATAGGAGTCTCATCTTTGCTGTCTACCTTGTAAGTTAGGGTTTTAACCTAGGGGCAGCAGAATCTTTCCTGGTTTACTCTTGTCAATAAGTGAGAAATGACTGATAGTATTTGATGGAAACAGAAAAGGGAAAGGAAGAGGTGAAAAGGGAGGTCCAAGTACAAACAAGAAGTGTGTGCATGGAAATGCATCAGAAATAATGCAGAGATGGAATATTTTTTTCTAAGCATTTCAGAAACATGGACATAATCCCTGTTGCTCTGATTCAAAGTAATAAGAGTACAAAAATCAGTCCTTTCATTCAAAACGGAGTGTTTATAAAGTAGAAGAACCTGCTACTGCAAGCAGTTCCTTTCCAAGTATAATGCTTATTGTTGTATAGAATGGATGCTATTCATTAGGATTATTCATATCAATAAAGCTGCTTTTGAGCTTCATTATTGAATTATGTTTAAAAGTGTCTTTCTTTGGAAATAGAGTAAGCTTTAGAAGTAGGGCATGGGGATGTTGGATTTCTCTGAGTGTAGAGTAACTGAAGCAGCATTTTCTGGTTAATAAAAACTATTCATACATTTTAGTTGAATACAACGAACAGTGCCAAGAAGGTTAAAGATGAAGAATTAATCCCAAATATTTTAATGTGAACTACTTTAATATTTTTGTCATGGATTCACAATTGGACAGCGGTAGTCATTGCAAATCACAGGAAATACAATAACCAGGCTATTGGCCAGCTGCCCAAAAGACAGACTGTTTGCCTGTATGCTGAAAATCCAATGTTGAGATCCTTTTCCTACCTGATTGAAAGCAGAGATTTGGCATGAAGTGTTCTTCACTGCTTGCAGGTGTCCAGTATCTGATGTACCAGTTATCTTATGCATCTCAGCTTCTCTGGTGGAAAAATAAACTTTGCAAAGCACTTAAGTATAGTCTGGAACAATTTCAGTCAATGGAGGGGGAATTGAAAGAAACCTACCCAAGAGATCTTGTAATGGCACCTTGTAGATATGGCATCCTCCTGTGAAGTGGGTCACAGCAGCCAACAGTCCTCTTTGATGCTGGTCAGGACATTTGAACTAGGGCTTTCCACATGGCAAGTAAATAGTCAACTGATCAATAAGGTATTAGAGGGGAACCACACAGTCACTCTGCTTAATGGTTGTTGTTCTTCCTATTAAAAATGCATAAACTGACTATTCTCTTTTAGGGTTTCTTTTTAATCTCAAAGACCTTGCTGCTCCACCCCTTTCCCTCCACACACACCAAAAGTTACTTTCACAGCTCTAAACAAAGGAGATGGTCTATTAAATAAGAAAGCAGTTACAAGATGTAAGGATCAGCTTCCTGCTGTGTAGGAGCAATGTCAGGAAAATGGGTATTTTCAGCAGTTGTACCATGGCATCACATCCGTACTTTCAGCACTCCATGCTTCTGGCAGGCTCTGTACCACTGAGACATAAAATCATCTGCTGTAGTCAGACATACTTCTCTGACCACAAGTGAACCAGGTGAACAAGTTCCTTTTCCTAGCAGCTTGTTATGAGCTTCCCAGCAAGGTGTTCTTGCCCATCAGGTATTCTGGGATAACTGCATGTGAAGCGTTCCTTTATTCAGCTCCATCAAAAACCAAGGCTGTGAGCTTTATGCTCTTCAGTGGTGCAGATTGGTTTTTAAACGTTACTTATTTGGGCTGAAGTCTTTTAGGGAGTGAGGAGGAAGGGAGATTACTCCATTACATATTCCTGTGGTTGGTTATCTTTTGCTTTGTGTTTTTTAAAAACTTGTCTGCTGCTTCAAAACGTTGGCGCTTGGTCAGAGCTGTTTAGAGAACAGGCAGGTAAGTAGTGAAAGCCCACTGATGCTTTGCCTCTTTGCAGTACTGATTGCTCAGGGAGATCATATGTGTTCATTGCAAAGTGGAAGTAGTGACACAGGTGGGGAGGGAAGGGAGAGCTAAACTTGCTTTTGCCTCTTCCCCCTTCTTCCAAGTCATAAGGGGTGCATGATGCATGATGCATCTCAATTTGTGTGTTGGATTTTTGCTTTGATCTTTAAATAAAAAGCTCTTTGTCAGATTTGTGTTCATGCTTGAATTTCTCCATGGGAATGGAAGAAGTATCAAATAGTCGTAGTGATCATTTACAAAAATCTATCAAAATGTATGTAATCTGTATGTATCACTTTTTTTTTTTTTTTTAAATAGATACAAGAATTCTCTTCCGGTTTCTGGACTGGTTCACAGCTTGCATGCTGGGATAAAACTGAAAGGCCCTGGTCCTTATTTCCCAAACTCTCCATTTATCTGAGGGATGAAAACTCCAGTAGGTCATTTCGGATCTCTGTCCTACCACAGGTCTCAACCTTCTTTGTTTATTCAGTTTTGCATTTATTTTTACTATTATAGAGCACATGCTTTTAAAAAAAATCTGAGCTATTTTAAGCAGTAATAGAGAACTGGCTTATTGCATGTAAGTGAAATATTTTTAAATTAAATTTTAAAAATAAAATTTTAAATAGGGAAAATAACAAACTTGTCAAACCTAAAGCCGAAAAAAGAAAAACACAGTTTCCTTCTGAGTGCAGTCCGTGTAGTTGGGAAGGATTTTTTCAAATTGTCAGGAAAAACAGGCAAGTTTTTGTTTTGTTTTCACAACCTTTAGTCACATCAGATGTCAATACAGAATGTCTCTGCTCATTTTTATCTTCTCATTTTGAGAAGCAAATTGATTTGTTTTTCATGGCATTCTGAGTTGGAGCAGTTCTTCTGAATATGACAGTCTTGGAAATGAGCCTATGTAATCTCTTCACCAGTTTCTGTAACTTCGTTGTTTTATCTTTTATTAATATTCCATCCCAGCTTTTAGAATATAATGTGCAGCTTTTATTTTTCCCTTTCTGGCCTCCCCTCCCAATATAAGCTGCAATACAGGCTAGTGTTCTCTAACATTACTAATATAGTCTTTTACCTCAGGGGATGGTCAGGAGCAAAGGGGAGAATGAACCTATTAAGTGTATTTTAATTTGAAATATAGTAAAGCCTTATGATAAACTTTTTCTGTATTGATCATGTAGCTTGGCAATCTTTCATCTTCCTTGAGGAGACAAGGGGTAAAATGTGGCTTGAATTTATGAATCTAGAGCCTTGAAGCTCTTGAAGCTCTCTGAATCAATTCCATCCTGATAATTTTTTAAACAATAGAATTATTCTCTAATTTGAGTTCATATCCCAAGTTCTTTCTCAGCTATCCTTCCCTTATGGAAAGTACAATAAAAAGTGGCTCTCATGAATTTGCTGTTGACTTTCACATAGTGACTGACTGTGTTCAAATAAATTTAAGCATAGCATCCAAGAGCTTTACCTCTTACCTGCATGTAAGTTTTGACCAGTTCTAAATCATGTACAGAAATCTATTTGCCCCTTTTCATTCTCTGTTTCCAGTGGAGTTTGTGTGCTTGAATATAAAAATCAAAAGGTCTGAACTTCTAAATAGTGTGCTATGTTGCTTCTTACACTCTGGCTTTTTTTTTTTTTTTTAATAGCTTTATATTCAACCCATCCTTGGCATAGGAGAGAATTTACAGTGCTACCGATTTGGCATCTCTTCCTCCCTGAATGCTTTAGTTATTGGTGCTACAGTCATGGAAGGCTTCTATGTAATATTTGACAGAGCCCAGAGAAGAGTGGGCTTTGCAGTGAGTCCATGTGCAGGTAAGAGAAATATTGTTCAGGACTTGTTGAGTGAGGAAACGTGCTGCTCTCAGAGAAACACCTTTGCCACTTGTCTGATGGGGAAAAGTGTGGTTACTCACGAAGCACGAAAGGTATATTTTTGAGCAATCCCCAGTTATTCAGATTTCAAGGGGAGGAAAAAAAAAAAAAAAGCTGTATAGCACATGAAAGTCTTGAAGGGAAGTAAATCAGCGTCAGGTCTGGGTATCTTAGCTGCATTGTTCCCTGTGAGAGAAGATCCTCTTTCTGAGACATCTGTCTGATTGCGTGGTTTCCACACCAGTCACCTGAGACTCATCCCTGCTTTTAATGCAGCTTCATTTTTATTTAGTTCCTGTTCTAATTTGCGGATAAATGGATTCTTCAACTCACTTTTGCAATGTGCTAGTGAAGTACTTTACTCATGCTTTTCTCTTAATGTAAATTGTGCCTTTTCAACCTCTCAGAAATACTCAAAGAAAAAGCTAAGAAGAAAATGGGACTCAAATTAAAACCTGTGGTGTTTGAGTTGGTTCTAAACAAATAGTTTTCTCAGTGTAAGTAGAAAGCCATTAATTTTTTAATTAGCTGCTGAAAAAATGTTAAACAGCTCATGATTTTTGGCTGATTTTACAGTGCTGGTTAGATTTTTTGGTTTTTCATAATTTCTCTTATGTCACCATGGGTAGCAATGAACAAAAGTTTTGGGGTTTTCTCCCCTTGTTGATGACACATAGCTTTGGCATCACAAGAACATACAAGTTGGGAGAGGAAAGAAAGGATGTGCACCCATATGCAAGTCTCTGTCCCAAACAGAAGTGGTCAATGCCCCGAAAAACCTTGTACCATCTGAGATCTGCAGGAGAAAAGGACTAGGACTGACAGTGCTTCTTTAATCCCCAGTATTTATGTTAGAGAGGGTAAGGGCAGTAAGTACTTGAGTGCTTAATGCAACCGGGTAATTGAGTGAAAAAAAGAGAGATACTAGCTAGCTGAGTTGTAGCTCCAGGGCATTCTAAAAGCTCTTTTTTTTTTTAATCTCTCCATTGTTAATGGGTTCAAAATTGTCCTCTTTGAGCTTGCTATGAAAGAAAATATGGATATTGATGTGGGTTCCTTAATGAAGGCCTCTGTGAGGTACCATGCAGTGATGAAAGCCACATTTTGAATGCATCTGGAAGGAGAGTGTAACTAGACAAATACTGTGGACCAGGTTTTCCTGCCTTTCATTCTTCCTTGTGCTTCCTGACTGCAATTTTAGAAAACGTAGAGCTGCCTCCCATCCCTGCTAGGCTTCAGCCATTAATGGAGAGGGGAGGGGACATTTTGACAGAACATATTGACTGACGTGGTTAGCAGGGGACGCGAGCCAACTGGTGCTCATAAGGACTGCTTTGACAGCATATCTTTGTTGAGAAAAAGAGTCAGGGAAACATAATAACACCTTAGTGTTGATACTGCTACATAGAAGCATAGAGTTTGGCAGCTCCATGTGGTTCTGCCAACCTTGTCCAGGGAGGAAGAGCTGATTTGGCTGAATAGGAATGAAATCTGAATTTGTGTGAGTTTGGATGCATGGTGATACCCAGCTGGTGCTAGAGGCATTTTCTCCTTGTTTCTTTGTCCATGTTTCAGGCATATGTCTAACCTAGCATCTTAGCTCCTTGAGAAATCAGATGACACAAGACACTGACTGAGACAAGATACACTGATTTGTCAGACTCCACTCACATGGGGCAGGTGACATTTTGCTGGATGTGCCAGTTATTCTGAATTCACTTCTTCACAGCTTGTGGTTTCCATATTTAACACTACTTTCATCAGAAAAGCACAACTGTGAGTGGTTAGCAGTCAGTGCAGTGTGAGGGATTAAGCTGCCTAAACTGGCTTCCTGTGGAGGCCAGCCATGTCCTCCATAGCAACTGTATTAATGTAATTTATTTGGAGCTTTTTGGTCTGTTTGTGGGCATAAATTAAATTGAATTACTGGTGGTGTAAATCTTCAGAAATGGTGAAATATAAAAGACCATTTGGTGTGGCTTTGCAATGACCTATGCTTTCTTTACAATGGAGTGTTAACACTGAATTAAGCCCATGTTTTTATAAGATGTTAAACAGGTATGTGCTGAATACAAAAATGGTGGGAACAGGACTGAAAGTCTTAACTTCATTGAACTCCCAAGTGTCTACTGAGACTTGGCTAGAGATGAGGACTGGCTTATCCCTTAATACTCTTTGCACAATGTCATTCTCCAGGATGTACCAAGAGTGAGGAAAGTTAGATAGATGGCTGCAGGAAGCTATTCTACTGTAGCAGGAAAATAAATTTGCTTGTTCCTCAGTATGTGAAACCCTTTAAGACTTACTCTGTTTGTTACTAATATCAAATTATTTCAAGTTGCCTATTGATAATTTCAAAGATAACCCACTGTTTATAGGATGACTAGGAAAGGTTTTGGACCAGTTTCCTTCCTGAGACAAGATGTTCAGATCAACTAGTGAGTATTAGTGAAGCAACCTAATGGTACCTCAACATCGAGCAGAGTTATACACCTAGTATTAACATGGTAAGTGAGAAGATCATAGGAGCGAGACTTAGGCATTTTTTAGAGAAGAAATGCACCAAGCACTATAATCACAAATGCCTTCTACACTAAACTGTAGTGAGACAGAATGCACTCAAACTTGTGGAACTAAACTCAGGAGAATGGATGGTATGATGAATAGCAGAGCTTCAGTCCAGAAGGACCTTGATAACCTGAAGGACTGGGCAGCAGAAACTTCAAGATTTTTGGTGAATGGAAGTGCAAAGTTCTGCACCTTGAGCAGAAAACCGCCATGCACGAGTACAGTCTGGGAAGGGACTGGCTGAATAGCAGCCCTGTGGAAAAAGAAATGGAGATTGTGGTGGGCCCCAGTTTGAATGCTGGTGGGCCCCAGTTTGAATGCAAGCCAAGGGTCAGTGCAAGTGAAACATCTGCCAGTTACTTTCAGAAAGGTTCCAGTTAGACATGAAGAATTTCTTCTTTATTAGGAGGGCGGTTGTTTTGCCAATTTACGAGGTTAGCACAAAGGACACAGGCACCAAATTAAAGAAGTTAGCTTAATTTTACTTATGTTTAAAGTGATAAAATAATGAGAAAAATAATACAGTGAAAATAAATTAAAGCAAGATAAGGTAAAGCAGCAAAATAAAAAGCAAACTACTATAGCAAGCAGAAAGTTAGGTAATGCATCTAATCATTACTACATAGAGTTAGCGATAGTGTTTAAGAAAGATACATCACCAATTGCCCTATTAATGCATTACCATCATCCAGATCCGCAGTCACCGGGGAGCCCGTTTGCAGCGAGGATTTGGAGAACCCTTCCTGGCAATTGCGAAATCTCTATACAGTGCATCCACCGTATAGATGAGGCTTCCAAATTTCCCTGCAAACAGTCCCTGCTTTTATACAGTTGAATAAACAACTTTATATCTTAAACTGCAAAAAACATCTGGTGTAGTTTTCTCCTTGTTAACTTCCATCTCAAGCCTGGCCAGGGCCCGGAGGGGAGATAACAAGGAGAGGGGAGATAACAAGAACAAAAGAATCTACTAATCTTGATTATGTATGTCTCAACAAAGCTTGTCAGGACTTGACACATCCCTTTGCCATCTGTGGCGATAGGGCACATCCGTGCTTAATTTTGTCTACTGTTATGCAATTAGTATCTTTCTGCTGACTAACCTTACACAGGAAGTGTTACAGCAATGCTCTATAAGTGTTACAACAAAACTTTTATAAATTGTCATATATTAATAAGTAGTACATTGCATATGTGATCAATATTACACATATCAGATATATTGTTAGGTTGTGAGGTTCATCTAGAGGTCAATTTTGGTTCAGGGCCTCACTGCTCAGGCCCTAGTATTTGAGCGGTACAGCACTGAACACATTGCCCAGAGAGATCATGGGGTCTCCATCCTCATGGTTTTATGAGATTTGTCTGGATAAAGCTACAGCTGGCCTGATCTATTGATGATGACAGTCCTGCTCTGAGTAGGTGGCTGGACGAGGTGACTTCCAGGGGCCCCTTCCAAGCAGCACTTTACAATTTTATGGTAAATTTGATCTAACTTCAGGTTTGTCTCCTTTCTAAGCCACCTAAGATAGTGAGTGAGTAAGGTGCCATTTTTGACCTGTAATTATCAATAATGAAGAAAATCCCATTTATTCAAGGTCAATAATTTATTGTAGGTAGCTACCACCAGATGTTCTAATAAAAATATGCCAAAATATCCTAATTCAGATAATGTGTAATATGCTAAATATGACTGATAATTTATATTAAGGGCTTGTTTTGAACATTTTAGGCAAATTTCCCCTCTTTTGATTTCCTCTCAGTTTCCCTGGGGGTGGAAGAGGGTGAGGGAAAACTTTTCTTTTTGGAGGGAAGAAAGCAGAGTCTGTGCTGCTATCAAGCATCCTCAAAATGTAATTTAAAATGTCAGCCACTATGGCAACAGTTTTGTGTTGCCTTTTTTAATAGGAGTAATTATTGTACTCAAGCCAAATAATGAGTAATTAGGGACTGTCTATTTCCAAAGCTATCTCCAAGGTGGCAAATTGTGCTGCCTTTTTTTTTTCCCTACTTCTTAAAAATACTGAATTCCTAAGTAGTAATGCTTATACCTTGCATTTCACATTAGTATTAAATGTGGTTTAGTTTGTTTTTGCTGCAGGACTTCATAGAGACAGATGAAATGGTGTGAGGGGGTGAGATGTCCAGAAGAAACAATTCCATGGTAGACAAAGTGCAATTCTGGAACTCTGAATAAAACAGATTTCTGCTTCAGAACTTCTAGGTAGTCTTTTACAAGACTGTCCACTGCTGTGCAGCTGCCTTACCGTGGCTATGTAACAGCAATGTCTTGGCAAAGATATGCTGATGATATAGGGTGCATGGGCCAGTTTATTATCATCTGATGAGTTGAGAGAGTATGTGTTTGGTATTCACCAGTGTTAGGGTGCTCAGGTTTCATCCAGTCCATTCTAACAGCGTATGGCTGCTAAAGGAGGGCTCTTCCCACACTTGCAGCTGGAGAAAGAGTTAGTTCAGTTGAGTAATCCTACAGAAAATTCCTTGCTTGGCCATTTTGTTTGTTATGACTGTTTGGTTTTCCATCAGATCAGTGAGCTGCCCTGACTCTCTTTGCAGCCTACCAGTCACTAGCATCATACAAAAGAGGCAGCAAGGGACAGGAGTGAGGGAACAGGACTGTCTCTTTCAGTAGCAGCAGCCCGCGATTAAGTTGAATTAAGTCTGATGAGACTTAAACCTTAAAATCATATGAGGTGTTGGGAGGCCAGGGACTGAATACCAACTAAAATCGTTCACAATAAATTAAAGGTAAAGCTGCCCACCTGTTCTGCATTTGTTTCTCCACAAAGAACCTTAAAGGCCACTTTCCTGCCCTTCCAAAGCCCAGGTTCCCCTCTTCCTTCCAAAGGGCATTTTATGCTAATCTCTTTAAACGTGCTTTTAGGAGTCGTGTCTAAGATATGTGTAAATAAGGGATACTCTTTTCAGCAGGCAGGATCACTTACAATTTGTCAGGAACGTGTCTGTGTGTAAAATGAACAAGAAGTAAATTGAGAAGGTTAAAACTGAGGCCTTTATACGAAATACACAAATGTGTCTTGAAGTATCTGACTAGAGAAGTTAATTACAGCTGTTCAGAAGACTTGTTAAAATGCACAAACAGTGCTAACTGAAGGCTCCTAGTTGCCCCAAGCAATCTAAAAGGTATCCAACCTTCTTTGGCCAAGGATCTGCAGATACAAACTGCTCTGAATATTTTGTTGCCCTAGGCAACTCAGTCGCTCTGCCTTTACAATACCTGTCGCCCTGTCCAGAACTCAGGGGAACTTTGCTGCACTTGCCACGGTTACTGTGACAACCATGGGCAGCATAACCCTTTTTAGCAAACACTGGTTTAACAAGTTAGGGGTTTGTGACGGTAATGAAACAAGTCACACAGTCTGTGATGTTTCCAAAATGGATGGCTGCTTGAAAACAGAGCTGCCACGGCACCCCTTCATCCTTCTTGCCTTAGCTTTGTCATCTCCATTTTTCAAACTGCTTGGTTAGCTTCTCCTTCCCTGCCTAACAGCACTGCTCCTTCAGGTCCCAACTCCTCACTCCTGATACTGTCCTTCCTCTCCACCATTCCCTTTTCAACCAGCTCTTCTCCCTCACCTGCTCTTCCTTCTGAATTTTCACCTCCACTCACAAGAGTATCTGTGCTGCTTTCCACCATGCACCTTGTACTTAGGATACAGTCCTTTAAGGTATCTATGAAGCTAATGATGCTGCATGTTGCTTCCTAAGACCCTGGAAGATAGCAAACACAGAAGATGTTAGAATCATCTGAGGTACTCTTCCAGTTGTTGTGAATGCCAGAAACAAACAAAACAGGCCCAGGCCCTGACCTACTCTAGTGTAGGTGCTATAGGATTTTTAAGCTTTGTTAAATTGACATTTCTGAAAGGTTAGTCCAGAAAAAAAAGATGATCCAGTGGCTTGTGCTTTAACTTGGGCTGTGGGAGACGTGATTTAAATGTCTGATCTCTTGCTGACAGCCTGTGTAAATGTGGGAGTATCATAGAATCATGGTCTCCTTATGCTTCAGATTCACATTTTATAAACATGCAATGCTAGCATTTTTATTGCAATGAGAAATACAATAAAAGATGAGTACACTGACACATATGATGATCGAGGTAAAGCGATAGGTAGGTATTTAAGCAAGATCTTTTGTTATTTGCTTTTAAATGGTGTCTATAATGTTTTTTCTTTTTGTAATTTCTCAGAAGTTGATGGCTCTCCAGTATCTGAGATTGAAGGCCCTTTCACAACAGCAGATGTTGCAAGCAACTGTGTTTCCAGTGTTACTTTCCATGAACCAATGTTGTGGATTGCCTCCTATGCTCTCATGAGCCTGTGTGGAATTATCCTCCTTGTACTGATCATCCTGCTGCTTATTCCACCACGGTGTCAGCATCGCTACACTGACAATGACGTGGTCAATGATGAATCCTCCTTAGTGCGTCATCGCTGGAAATGAGAAACTTGATCATGAAACCTGGGACTTAAACAGAATGAAGAACAAAGTACTTTGCCAAGGGGAAGAAGCCAATGCCTCAGTCCTTTCTATGTTCATTACAAATTGCTGTTGAAATTGCTGTTGAAACACCCTGCATCATAACTTTTTAAGCTTTATTTTCTAACACTGATTCTGAACCAAAGCACTGTTAACCACCTCTTAAGTGCTACAGTACTGGATTTGCTACTGCAGTACAATGAGCCTTTATGCTCTCAGTAGTACCTTCTTAAAAAAAAAAAGAGAGAGCGAAAACCACACCATGATGTTCTTCCACTGTCTGAACAAAATTATCCATCCCTCTTTCGCAAAAAATGGAGCTGTCAGTATTTTCTAACTAATCAAGCCCTGACTGTAGAAAAAGAGAAAAAAAACCTTATTAATCTTTCTTATTAATTGCATTAAATGAATACAGCTTTCTGTTTACATCAATTAATTTTGAAACTGTGCTTATGGTGTGGGGGAGGGAGAAAGGTCAAACTTAAGCAGCAGGGAAAAGCAAGTGAGGTAAAAAAAAAAATGTTGGTTTGTGGTTTTTTTTCCTCAAGATCACTGCTGCCACTTGAGAGGGTTGCCCTTCCTGAGTATCATTACAAAATAGTTTGAGGAGGTGAAAACTGGGAAACAAACTTGTTCAGCCTTAGTGTAAAACACGACTACCTCTCTTAATTTACAAGGATGCTACCACTGGTAAGCGTGTGGCTTAGAACTGGTCTTGAAGCACAAGACACTCTATATAACCAAATGCAAATCCTTGGTTTTGAAGCAGTTGATTTTATAAAAATTAAGACTTCATGGCTTTCCACTTTGGTGCACCAAAAAAAGCCTTTCAGTTTTCCCCCTCATGTGGGGTTTTGTGGGGTTGGTTTTTTTGAGTTGAGGATGACTGATACTTAGAAAAGGCTGGTCTGCATATGTATGGACAGATGATAAAGCTAAAGTCCATGTTCTGCCATCTCTTTGGGTATTTCTAGTGAACATATAACAAAAAAAGAAACAAAATGAGAAAGACAACCCTTTTGTTTTTGTCTGAGCTCAGCAACCTCGAAGTTCGAGGGAGAAGTATCTGTCTTCGTGGACAGACTGGGAGGTGAAAATCTTGATGCTGGCTTGTTTTTCAAGTTGAACAAGCAGTTGGAGGTGTTTAGTTTAGCTTTGCTGGTGTGTCAATCAAATGAAAAGTATGTGTACTGACCAGCTGAAAACAAACATGTGGTAAGAGTGAAAACAATAGTGGGAGAGATCAGGGAAGAATATATTTGACCAGGCCTCCATTGTGCAAGCGTAGATCTTAATGCAGAGGTCAGAACATGGTATTTTCTTTGCAGATAGAACAATTTTTTCTTGTATCTAGTCAGTGAGCTTTGTCTGACCTCCATTGCTTTTTTATAACACTGGTATAGTGGGTTTGAAAATAAACAGTGCAAGGTTGAGGACTCCAGTGTTAACTGTTAGTTATCTGTTGGGTTTGGTTTTGTTTTTTGTTTTGCTTTGTTTTGTTTTTTTAAATTCCTTTGCATTTTGATAACAGAGCAGTTTGCATATCTGTGTGGGAAACAAGAAGAAAAAAAAAGGAAGCTTAGCTCCAAATCTCCCAATCCCTTGCCTAGAAAATTTTCTGTCTATAATCCCTTCATATAGCTTTCTGATTCACACTGCCTCTGCATCTGACTCTGCATGGAATAAACAAGGATTTCTTTTTGTGGGAATGGTGCTTTTACAGAGGTGCACATAATGTGCATAAAAATAAAGTACTGTTGGTTCTTTTTAAACTAACTTGTGTATTTCAGTTCATAACTGGAAGTGCCTGTGGTTTTCTTTCCTTTTTAATTCTTGCACTTTCAGATTGCTTGACTGAATAGACCAAAAAATTTGGTGTTATGATCCAACATCTGAAAATTATTTCTCTTGGAATTAGGAGTTGGAAATAGGAGGAAATTTAGAGTTTGCCTCCTTGTTCCTCTGCCTCTTTAGTTTTTAAGAAGAGAAAAATTATGAATTATAAGGAATGTTAGAAACTGTAGAGCTTAGGTGTTTTCTCCCTTTTCTATTTTCCGTACGTCTCTCCCTCAGTGACTTTTAATTAGATTTTTTTTGTACACGTTATAACAAGAAGAAGTTTTCTTGAGTTTTTGTTAAAGCAATAGATTTTGCTCTGAAAAGAGAGAGAGTGATATTTCTAATTCTGTGATTTGGTTCTATATCGTCCTCCTGGGTTTGGTTTGACATGTAACAAGTAATTTCAAAGTTGTATTCCTTCTGCCACAGTATAGTAATAGAAGCAGTGCTTCTGTCACCTGTTTCAAACAGAAACACAGTGTGAATGTTTGGATTGATACAGCAGTAAACAGTGAGCCCTTTTTCAATTCAGAAAGTAATAACACTTGTCTGCTCTTAACATGTTTCTTAGCTGCTTCCTTCTTTGCACCCCCTCCTATCTCCTTACTACAAAGAGTTTTAGGAAGGAATTTATTGGGAATGGTTCCTAGTATGCTTTCTAATGGCATGCGAGATTTCTTCCGAGTTGTTTAATGAAGTCTTTTTAGTGCGCTAGATTTTATACAAAAGCCTTTCAGTTTTACCCTTTCACTTTGAATGTCCTTGGTCGAGACATTGTAACAGGAACACTTGAATTATATGAGCAATAATCAAGTAGCACAAATTAAATAGTAATATATTCTTGAGTTTTCATGGCATCCCTTGCCACTAAAATTTGGCTTATAGTAAAAATGCTGTTAGTGACATCTGCTAGCAGCACAAACTTTATCTCAGCTTGTAAATTGATACTTATGCTGGCAGATATTCAGGTGAGTATTGCTTTGTTGCTCTGGCAACAAGAAGAGCAATAGAAACCCTTGAGGGTTCATTTTTAGCCTACAGCACATTAAGAAAAATAATGCTCTTGAGCATTTTTTTATGAAAGATGAAATACAGTGGTAGACTACAGTGTTACCAAGTGTGTCTTACTAGTGATCTCTTTAATTTTTGTAAAGGAGAGTGCTGTGAGGTATTTTTTGTTCCTGTTAACCAACTTCAGAGATAAGATAAAACCATACTTTAAAAAAAAAAAAAAAAGGCGGGGGGGCGGAGTATTAATAATAATCAATAGAGAATATTAATAATCAATAGAGAATATTTTCCAGCACCATCTTTACTCAAAGCTCTGATGGTGCTGGAAAATATTCTCTGTTGATTATGGAAGACAGGATGCTCCACATCACAGGACTCCAAATCATCCCTTGCATACATATCAATATTTCTTGCAGAACCAGTGTTTTCCTAATGTGAATGTAATATCATGTACCATGAAAATGTCAAAAAGCCATGTTTCATTGGATGCAGCCTTTTAGATAACTGATGCTGTCAGTTCAATCATTAGGGATTTGAAGATGTGTGATTTGAGTTCAAGTAGTTAAACCTGAGTTGAGGCATGGGAATATGTTAGTTCTATCCCACTGACTTCACAAGTTCTAGAAATATTATCATGGGCTTTTTGGCTCAATTTAAATGCTGAACAAAACAGATGATGGATTTTAATACGCCTTTTTTCAGGTTCAGAGGGGATTGTTCTGTTTTTAAGGTGAAAGAGCTGGTGTTTAGGATTTATATGTTGGATCAACCTAAATGCAGCGTACCATTCCAGTTCTCAGCGTTGATGCTGTGCAGGTTAACTAGTGGTAATCACAGAGTTGTCAGTTTTGGTATCTCTTGTTAACATAGCAGTCACTTAACAACAGTTAACTCTTTATCAGCTAAAGGCAATCTAAAGGCATTCTACCCTGTTACTTGCTGTGTATCAGCTGGCTGTGTTTCACTGAAGGATGAGCCATTTGTATACAAACCTTTTCCTTTTAAATATGAAAAAGGTTACGAGGGTTGCTTCACACTGCACATTTTCAGAGAGAGAGTGATCCTTCATTCTTCTGATACTTCAGAATGAATGTGCTGTTGAAAGCTTCTTTGATTTCTGTAGAGGTTTCCAACAACTAGCTTGGTTGGTTGTCATATCTCAGACATGAGCTTCGTATATATAAGTAGCAATATGAGCTGCATAATGAAGGGGGCTGGTATAATGACCTATGGAATTGAAAGTAAAGGAAATTACGGAAAGAGAAATAAGTAAGTTACCCTTCACTTCATAAAAAAAATTGTAAGAGCATAACGGATTGATCCTTTTGAGAAAGGTCTGTACAATTTACCAAGACATTAGTTCCTGTCAAACTTGACTTTCTGATTGATAAATCATTCATTTCTGGCTGCTGAATTTTTTGCTGCTGCTCAGAGAAGTGAAGACAGATTGGTAATGGGATACGAGCAATCTTCTGAGCCAGAGAGATTTTCTGGCTTCTGGGGCCTAATTAGACGTTAGGCCAGGCTTATGGGTAATCCAGAGTCCTGGTAATGGTTCCTCAGGAACGTTATCTGAAATATAATTGTTAGCTTCAGACAAACCCCTAGATGAGATGGACCCCTACCACAAAGGCAACTGCTACAGCTTGCACTAACTGACAGAGGGGCTACAGTGAGCTGAAGCTGGCTGGTGGTGTGAAATGTGGAGATGCTAAGTAGTTGAGTCTTCTACCAGACTTCCAGATCAAGGCTGGGCACCTTGGGAGGGCAGAATGGGAGAGCAGCTGCAGCTGCTGACAAGCTGCTCTAAGTGTAGCATCAGTCAGTCACCTGGCTTCTTGGCAAGGGTTCACTTCTCTGAATATTTTGAAAGCCAGTGTACTCCAGTGTACTATTGCTGCTACTGGGAATTATCCACTCACAGGTGAATAAGGAGCACAATCATCTTTAAGTAGAATCATTGGCCAGTTACTGAATATTCTGCCCTCCCTATAACAAAGAGCGTAGTGATATGTCTCACTCCTAGCAATAGTCTGTTGGTAAGCAACAAAAACAGGTTATTTTAAAGCATGTTGACATTGGTGACTGTACAGTACAGTACATAGTAGTAATGTAAGAATGTTTTGTGTTTACTTTTTTTTCCCCCCCCCTCCACTGTATCTAGGCTTTGGCTGGATCTTTATGGTTGGGTAGTTTTTTAAATACTGAGAATTTTAGATTAGACTATGAAAGCACATGCAGAATTTATTTTAAGTAGCTAAAAAGTAAAACACAGAAGGTAATTTTCAGCATTTAAAATGAAGTACCCTCAGTAAGTGTTCTCTCCTTTTCTTTTAATTGATGATAATAATTTAATGTATTTTAGTATAGCTGCTGT